AATCTGGATTGTGGTTTATTAAGGGTAACAATTAGTGCTGTCCAACAAATACTTCTGATTCTCTTCCCAGGTACATAATAAATATGTGCTTCCCTGCCTCCTTTGAAATTTGAAGTGGTCCTGTGATTTGCTTTATAGCTGAAGAAATGTGAGTGCAAGAGCCAGTGCCCAACTGACAAGTTCTCTTACAGAAATGAAGCTGTCCTCAGTAAAGAGGGCAGAGCAGGCCAGGCGCAGTGGCTTATGTCTGTAATCCCAGCCACTTTGGGAGGCCAAGGAGAGTGGATCACCTGAGGTCAGGAGACCATCCTGGCCAACATGGTGAAACCAGTCTCTACTAAAAATACAAAAATTAGCTGGGTATCGTAGCGAGCACCTGTAATCCCAGCTACTTGTGAGGCTGAGGCAGGAGACTTGCCTGAAACCAGGAAGCAGAGGTTGCAGTGAGCCAAGATTGCACCATTGCACTCCACCCTGGGTGACAAAAGTGAAACTCTGCCTCAAAAAAAAAAAAAAAAAAAAAGACAGCAGAGTCCATCAGGTGACCTACGATGGACATGAAAAGAATGTGAGAAACTAGCCTTTGTTTGTTGTTGTTACCACAGCAGATCCTAGCCTATCTCGCCTGATTCTGTATGGCTGACACAGGAACTAGAACACTCAGAGCTCATGTCCTCTGGCCCCATCAGGTCACAGCTTTCACATTATTTCTCTTCTTTATGCCTCTGACCTGTAAAATGAGAAACCATCTCTCGGACGTGTGCGCATGGGTTATTCCAAGCAGCTCAGGCAAGTCCTACTTGCCAACAATGGGGAGCTGTATCTGTTCACACCAATAATCTCCTAGGAGAAGTCACCATGGAGATGGATTTTTAAAAAATTCTTTTTCTCTTATTCCTACAGAGAACGAAACTCAAGATTATATGACAAAAATCTACCTAAGATTGTCACTGTAGCCCTGAGAATGATGGATGGACACTTGGGAGGTGAAGTGGGAAGACACCTGGAGGTGAAGAGAAAACTTGGGAGTCATTTAGAAGGTATGAAAAGAGCAAATTGCCTAAATCAGTGGCTCTCAAATTTTTACCTGCATCAGAATCACCTGGAAGTCTTGTGAAAACACAGATTGCTGGGCCCTACCTCTAGAGTCTCTGATTCAGTAGGTCTGGGGTGGGGCCAAGAATTTGCATTTCCTTCACCTTCTCAGGTGATACTGATTCAGAGACCACACTTTGAGAACCACTGCTCCAGAAGAATTCACTACAGGAAACTGGGATGGAGGCTGTGTCAAGAGGAATCAATGTGGTTACAACTTCCAGTGCTTGGCCTTAGCAGATTCTCTTTGAAGAAGAAAAAGAAAGGAGCCAGTTTTCCTTTTTCTACTAGAGACATTAGTGTGAGATATAACACACTACACAATAAAATTAAGCTCCTCTAAGGAAACAAAACGAGAATCTCATTCATTTGCATAATTAAAAAAAAAAACTTTCAGTGAGGAGAAATCATGCCTCACTCACCCTCCAGAGCTTCCCTAGGAGGTAAATGTTAAGTATATTTCATTTAGGAGGAAGCAATTTAGGTAATTGGCTGCAACCCCCCTTCAACCTTATCTACACACTCCCCTTCGCAAACCTCTACAGCAAGTCAGCCTTTTTACCCTTTGACCCCACCAAGGTCACACTCCCCTCAGCTGTGAACCTACACACATGCACATGCATACACTTATCTTCCCTTATGTAAATCTTCCCTCTTCCTCCAGTTTAGGGCCAGAGGCTTCAAGAAAGCCTTTCCCCTCTTTCATCCCTATCACAGTCAATCAATCAACAAATCCTGTTCATTTACTTTCCAAGTACCTCCAGAATCCATCCAGTGCTCATTTTCCACTTTCCCTCAACTGGTGTAGATTCCCCCATGCTCTGCCCTCTTTCCTCTCTAGGTCTTTGCTCAGGTTGTTCATCTTGACTAGACAGATCTCAATTTAAACTACATCCCTTCCTAGATGAGGAGGCCTTCTGTGGCCCTAAGCCAGGTTGGAGTCCCCATTTATCAACCCCCATTGAACCCTATGTTTCCTCTATCATGAACACTTTTCATATTTGTGATCTCTTATTATCACAGCAGACCCGAGCCTATCCTGACTGATTCTGGATGACTGACACAGGAATTAGAACACTCAGAATTCATGTCCTCTGGAACCATCAGATCATAGCTTTCACATTATTTCTCTTCTCCATGCCTCTAATCTGTAAAATGAGAAACTATCCTTTGAGGGGCATGCACACATTATTCCGAGCAGCTCAGGTGAATTCCACCTGCCAACAGTGAGGAGATGTATCTATTCACACTAATAAAAGCAGGCATCTTCCCTACTCAACGGTAAGCTCCTCACCACCAGGATCACATCTGTGTTGCTTGCTGCTGTACCTATAGAGTCCAGCACAGCCCCAGACACAATGTAGGCACACACTCGGTATTTAATAAATGCAGGAATCATCCCGTCAGTCCATAGGAATCTTCCTTTCTGAATGCCTACAGTGTATTCTGCCTGCTGCAAGTAATGTGTGGCCAATCAGTGCCACCCACCACCTGAGACAAGCAGGTACCCCATGACATCCAGGAGATGGGATCTAGAGGGAAAAAGTAAGCCTTAAAAAGAAGGTGCATCTTTTCCTTGGACGCTGGATGGAATTGAAATTAACTACAGAGATGTTTTGGTAGAAGGAAAGAGGCTACCTTCTGAGGAATGGTCAGGAGACAAAGTTTTCTGTTAAGAATGAGAGGAAAAGGAATTGTGTGTGACAAGTGTTTTGTAATGGTAGGTCTGCATTTTCTTGCAGCTCTTATGGAAGTTGGTAACTTCCCAAGCTAAAGGTTCTGATGGATTCTCCATCCAGACCTGATAACGACAAGCACCCATGTCTCTGGGATGCCTGAGGACTGAACCCAGTAACCTCCCAAGAGCTCAGGATTCTATAAACAAATTCATTCTGAGCTGGAATTTGGGGAATCCACATTCTGGCTCTCTTCAAACAGGAGTTCTTTCTCAATCTAGGAGACAAGACAATCTTTACCTTCCACTCACTCTCTCTACTAGTATTAATGCTTCCAAAGTCAAGACTCCCAATCCCAGCCCCTGACTGTCATCTCCCATGGACCGCCAGCATAAAAATAATTTAGGAAGTGGCCTCTGACTATGATAGGAGTTGGACTTGATGAAGGGAGCACCACGCAAAGGCAGCACAGGCCTTGAAGCCTGGCTAACCTGGGACAGCATCTTGGCTCTCCTAGATGTGTGTGTCTCTGGGCACTTCTTTGGGTCTCAGCATCTTCATCTCTAAAATGGCAATGACACTCTCTCTCTCAGGATTATCCTATTAAATGAGATATGCATGTAAAGCCCCCATCACAGAGCAAATGTGCAAGGATGTCAGTTTCACCATAATTACAGCTTTCTAGCTTTAAACGTACTGTGGGATAATGATTCTAAGCTGAAAACACTATAGAGATGAAATGATATGTTTGGAATTTGCTTCAAAATAATCTAGGAGATGAGGAGGAGGGGATAGATGAAATAAAATTAGCCATGTTTTGGAAATTGTTGAAGATGGGCAGTGAGAATATTGAATTGGCCATATCTCTCTCTTTTGTCTGTGTTAATTTTCTTTCCATAATAAAAAGTTTAAAGGTGGAAGTACTGAGGGAGGGAAATGCTGTAAAATATAAATACTGAGAGTTTATTTTAAGATCATATTTGATCTAAGTGACTAAACAGAGGAAAAATGATTCAAAGAAGAAAAAAACCTTTAAAGCTAACATCTACGTGTTGTCTTCTGAAAGACAAATGTTTTCTTCAAATAGAACTGTCTCGAATGAACGGAACGGGGCAAAGCCACCTGTGCACATTTCTTGCCTTCCTTTTTTGGGAAAACACATCCTGCTTGAGCTGTACGTGTATTTTAAGTAGATAAGCCCTGGGTGTTAGATTCCACCTGTGAGCACCCTGAGAGCCCTGCGGAAACCAAGCTGAGGAGTAGGAAACTTCCCATTTTAGGAAAAGAGAACAGAAAGAACTCGGAATGTCCAGGGACAATGGGGATTACCAGCTCTCCTCTTTGGACTTTGGACTTTTATTTGAGGATTCCCTGGGAGGCTGGTTTAGCTCAGTCTGAGGCTACACACTCCCTCTCTCCACCTATCCACTCCTCTCCCCACGCACACTATATACACACATTTTTTAAGAGATGGGGTCCAGGGCAGGATGTGGTGGCTCATGCCTGTAATCCCAGCACTTTAGGAGGCCAAGGCAGGAGGGTTGTTTCAGCCCAGGAGTTTGAGACCAACTTGGGCAACATGGCAAAACCCCATCTCTACAAAAAATACAAAAATCAGCTGGGTATGGTGGTGCATTCCTGTAGTCCCAGCAACTTGGGTGGCTGAGGCAGGAGGATTGCTTGAACCCAGGGTGGTCAAGGCTGCAAGGAGCCAATATCATGCCACGGCACACCAGCCTGGGTGACAAAGCAAGACCCTGTCTTTAAAAAACAAAAGGAAGAAAAAAAAGATATGGGGTCATCTTAGCCTAGAACCCCTGGGCTCAAATTCATCCTCCCAACTCAGCCTCCCAAGTATCTGGTACTACAGATGTGTGCCAGCTATATTTTCACCCAGATGAGTGGGTCCTCTCTGAACAGAACTAACGTGCCAGAAGATGTATCAGGAGAAAGGGTTCATTCAGGGGAAAAGGAACTTTTAAGAAGCTCTGAAAATACCCATCACAGCACATCCCTGTACCATCTCTCCTTTTCCATCTCTTGTCGCTGAGAGAAGTCTGGAGATTGAAAAATAAAATTCTTCTCATATTCCTCTTTGAATCAGCCAATCCACTCACTCCAAGCCCCTCTGTCTCAGAGAGAAAACAATCCAGGCAAGTTTTGTTTTCAGCAAATGCCTTTAGTCTCCCATACTCTGCCCAGATAAGGAGAGTACATAAAAATACTTACTCTTCTTGAAGAATGAATTCACTATTTTCTGGAGAAAACTGCCCCGTCACAGGATGCCTGAACGCTGTGGTCTGCAGGTTATGGCTAAAGAGAAAGAGAAATGATGGATAAGAAGTCGTGTGAATGGAAGGATTACAGATACCACAGGTCAGGCAGCAATGTCTGGTGACCCTGGTCATCAAAGACAGGGGAGAAACATGGGCCTTTCTTCTCAGACACACTTAGTCCGTCAGAACCCTGCTACACTAAAAAAAAAAACCCCAAGAATTTCCAACTCAGGTGCCAGAGCCCACCTACGAGACAGAGAGACTTCTAAGGAAGTCTTGGCTCCAAGAGAATACTGCATCTTGGAGAGATGCTCCATCAAGTACTTACACCAGCAAACTGAGACGCTGAACAAAAAGACACTTTAAGACAGTTTGTGCTAAAACAAGAATGAAGGAAAGCAGATGACACTTCCGACAGTTTCCAAAAACCATGAACCAAGTGAAAGAATTCTAAGAATTAACCACCCACCCAAAAAAATCTATCTTCTGAAAATTCTTCTGCCTACTACAAAATGTCTTCACTTCAGTGGTGGGATATAAATGGATGGGCATGTCTCTGCAACATGACCGGCACAATTTCAGCACGGTGGAGTTTCTATCACCCTTTTGAAGTTAGGAAGGATCAGCTTCCACACCAAGCTGACAGACACAAACAAAGCGTGTAGGTGTTTTGTGCGACGACAAAGGCGGCTTGGTTCTTTGAAAGGGAGGAGGAGCTGGCTCTAGAGACTGTTGCTTTGCTCCACAAATAAACTAAACTAACCCTCTTCTTTTTCAAACAAAATATGATGTATTTAAGTTTATTTCAAAATCATAGTAATTGTAGCCTTTTTTTTTTTTTTTTAAAAACAGAGTCTCACTCTGTTACCCAGGCTGGAGTGTAGTAGTGTGATCTCAGCTCATAACAACCTCCGCCTTCTGGGTTCAGGCGATTCTCTTGCCTCAGCCTCCCAAGTAGCTGAGATTACAGGTACATACAACCACACCTGGCTAATTTTTGTATTTTTAGTAGAGACAGGTTTCCCCATGTTGGCCAGGCTGGCCTCAAACCCCTGACCTCAAGTGATCCACCCACCTCGGCCTCCCAAAGTGCTGGGATTATAGGCATGAGCCACCGTGCTGGCCTGCAGACATTTTTTAAAATGTAGAAAGTAAAATGTCACCCATGACCTCACTATGTGGAGATATCCCTGGGTATTTCCTCCTTCCAAGTTTTAAGTTTTCTTCTACTTAAAAAGAATCACTTCAGGCTACTGAGACTGAGTTCACCGTATATAAAAATCTATGTACTGCTTTTTCACATCCTATTAACATAGAAAAAGTCCTATATCATTAAGACTCCTTTATTTGAAATAGCCGAATAATAGTCTTATTATATGAATATTAAAAAAAAATTTTTTTGACAGGGTTCTGCTCTGTTGCCCAGGTGGGAGTGCAGTGGGGTGATCATGGCTTGCTACAGGCTCAAACTCCTGGGTTCAAGTAATCCTCCCACCTCAGCCTCCTGAGTGGCTGGGACTACAGCTACATGCCACCATGCACAGCTAATTTTTTGGTTTTTTTGTAGAGATGAGATCTCACTATGTTGCATAGGCTGGTCTCAACCCTAGGCTCAAGTGACACACCAGCCTTGTCTCCCAAAGTGTTGGGTTTATGCCTGGCCAAATGCAAAAAAAAATTTTTCATATAACCACTCAAAAAATTGTCTACTCGGCACCCATGTGCTAGGCGCTCCTTTAGGTACTGGGGATAAAAGGTAAACAAAAAAGTGCTTATCCCATGGTATTGACATTCTAGAAAGATTTATACTCTTCTACTGCTAGATATTTTAGGTGTCTCCTCCACCATTATAATCTATATCTCTTTCAGTGTAATTTGAATTTTGCAATTCAAATTTTTCCTTAGTTTAAAGTCTCAAAGGAAAAATTACCAAATCAAAGGGCATGGTCATTTTTTTAAGGTCCCTAAAACAGACGGTTAAAATGCTTTCAGAGTCAATAGATCACCTCAGTTTGGTAGTGTTAAAATAGTAGCCCCATCTCCGTATTGAACACTAAGCCTCCCTAGAAATTACTATGTCTAAGTCAGCATAGCATGAAGGTTAAAAAAGAAAAACTCTCTAGGCCTACAAAGTTTTTTTTTGTTTGTTTGTTTTTTTAATCCACCCTAATGCCTGGTCAGAGCCTCCCATCTTCAGGTGTCTGGGGTAACCTGGGCACTGAGGGTTAGAGCAGTCTGAACCCTAACAAGCCAAATGAGAAGCAGGCCATGAGGCAAGGCTATTCCCTAGTCCTGCAACTGTGCACTGTGCCACCATACCATCACCCTTCCCAACCACAGCCAGCCCCTGAATTCCCTGGTCCTGGTCCCAGGCAAGCCTGTGGAATTCTATGACTTCCTCTGGCAGCCAGCAGACTAGTCTTCCCAAAAAGGCAGAGTTAAGGCTGAGCATCTAAGATAAGGACAAGAAGCAGGCCTTCTTAACACCTGTTTTAAAACTCCTTGTACCATGTTCAAGAGTTAGGCTTTATTTACACCTAGCTTTTTCTTTTTTCTTTTGAGATGGAGTCTTGCTCTGTTGCCCCGGCTGGAGTGCAATGGCGTGATCTTGGCTCACTACACCTCTGCCTCCTCGGCTCAAGTGATTCTCCTGCCTCAGCCTCCCAAGTAGGTGGGATTACAGGCATGTGCCACCATACCTGGCTAATTTTTGTATTTTTAGTAGAGACAGGGTTTTACCATATTAGCCAGGCTGCTCTCCATCTCCTGACCTCAGGTGATCCACCCACCTCGGTCTCCGAAAGTGCTGGGATTACAGGTGTGAGCCATTGCTCCCTGTCCAGCTTTTTCTAGAAACTCATCTCCACTTGCCAGAGAATCTGAAAATGCAAACTCTAAATCTAAACCTGCCTCATTTCCACCTGGAGGAAAAAAAAAAACTCTGCTCATAATGGGAATAACAATAAAGCATTAGCATCACTATCCATCATTATCTCTAAAAGGCTTTGCAGTTTACAAAGCACTTTCTTACACATCTGGGGTATTAACACCATCCACCTTCATTTTATGAATGAGGAAATATGGCTCAGAAGTGAATGAGGGGTTGCCTTGTACAAGATAACTTAGTCAATAAATTATAAGACTGGGACATGGGGCAGGTGTAGTGGCTCACAGCTGTAATCCTAGCACTTCCAGAGGCTGGGGCAGGTGAATCACTTAAGCCCAGGAGAAAAGAGATGAACCAAAGTAATGCCTTCCGAATACTGAGGTCTTAAAATTTCCATTTTTTTTTTTTTTTTTTTGTAGACAGTGTCTCACTTTGTCACCCAGGCTGGAGGGCAGTGGAACGATCTCAGCTCACTGCATTTTCAACCTCATGGGTTTTAGCGACATTCCTGCCTCAGTCCTCCAAGTAGCTGGGACCTACAGGAGCACATCACCATGCCTGGCTAATTTTTTTATTTTTAGTAGAGATGGGGTTTCACCATGTTGCCCAGTCTCGATCTCCTGAGCTCAAGCAATCTGCCCTCTTTGGCCTCCCAAAGTGCTAGGATTACAGGCGTGAGCCACCATGCCTGGCCAAAATTTCATCATTTTTGATCAAACACACTCAGTTTGCTAAGGGGAGGTCCCTGGTTGATTCCATTCAATATTCACAAATACCTAAAAGAGATGATTAGGTATCACCACACCAGGTCCCAAATGGGGAAAGTAAGACCCCCAAAGAATGGAGATTTACCTACAACAGCAGTCAGCTCCTGTGTTCCCCGCACACACCATCCTTTTGATCTCTTTCCACTACTCCAGACTCACCCTTGTCAAACAAAGGCTGCCTATTAAACACTGGCTCCCTAAAATCCATTTGGTGATTGCAAAGTCCTCTGGCTTTATTTGCTGTCCCTTGCTTCCCATCACAAAAGCCCTCAGTCAGTTCCATTTCCTGATTCTAACACCCATGAAGAGTCCCATGTCCTATCACTATGTCCCAACAAGCATTTAACAGGCACAGACACATCCCTGAAATACCTGCTCTTAAACCTGAATTGCTACCTTGCTCTATGGTAGTACAGAGACGGCCTGGCTGGGAGCCAAGTGGCTGGTTTCAAGGGAGCACAAAAACTCTCCCTGTTCCACACAAGGGCTTCTGTTTCTCTTCAGGACACTGAGAAGTAATTTGGCAAATGAGGTAAACGCAATCTAGCCTCTCAAATCCTCCTCTTCCTCCTAGAAGCAGCCCCTCGAAGTTGAATGGCAGCCAGTCTCACTTAAGAAAGGACCAGGCAACATGGATAGAACAGGGCAGGGAAGGATAACACCTGTGAAAGCGAGCTATGGGTAACCATCCACGTAAATAAGCACATCTTCACAAGCCCTGGGCCAGGAAGGACTTGGGTTAGGCCCTAAAGAAGTCTGCCAGCAAACACAAGAGACTTGATAAGAGAATAAAGTGAGGGCCATGGAGACCTGGAGACTGATTTGAGCTCAATGTAAGGTGGAGCCGACATACAACGACAGGGCTAGTCAAAATGTAAATACATCCTATAGTTTCTTGCAACATTTTTCTAAGATTAATTTTCTATTCATATGGATTTTGATTATAATATGAGTAGTGACTATTGTTGGTTAAACATAAAGGTTCCAATTACTTAGCACAGCAATTTTTTGGCAGGGCAAGAAGTTCTGGTGTTATGTGAGTGATGCTCAGCAGTGGGGGTCAGAGCACACTGATAAATCTGGTTTTCTGACAGTAGTGGTATTGGTATGCTGAAAGTGTGACAAATCTGCTCAGTCAGCACTAGCTCTTATCTGGCCCGTGCTACAAGGAGGAGGAGAAACAGCTTAAAATGTAAGAAAAATATCTGGCCTAAAAGCCTGAGGAGGGACTCTATTAAAAATCTTCTCATTGGTATGCTCAGCAGTATCTGCCTCACTGGACCTTCTGGTTCCTCAATGTGCAGCCCTGAAGCCACATTCAGCACTGCCCCCAGGCTTGTAAAGCCACTTACTATCTTTGTTTTAAATACCAGTGTCTGGAGAAAACCAAGGACTCTGGATAACCTAATAATGCTCCTAGTTAGGTCTCAAAACTGGAAACTGAAACTCTGAGAATACAAGAAATTGCCTCTTCTTTATCTTCAGCTCTGATTTGGGCCCCACAGTAAAGAGTTACCCATCAAGATTTGAAATTGCATCTCTACATTTCCTCAATTGTGTCTTAAGCTCCTTGTGGCTTATTTTACTTAACACTTTTACAAAATCGCTCATTTAATGCAAAACATCATCATTAATGTGGCGCTTTTAAGGGGATTGAAAATCTTACTGAAATTGTCTTTCGAGTTTGCGCTATTATGACGATATCAAGATTTACAACAGCTCACTGCACATGGGCATTCCTCTGGCAGGCCCTTCTTCCAGAATCAGGTGTGGATGAGCCAATGCAGGGTCCCCATCCCCTCTTTAAGTAGAAGCTATCAACATAGCACTAATCAGACTCCTTCAACATCTGCCCTAAGCAACAAGTCAGCCCAGAGCCCTAGGGTCAGAAGATCTGTGTTCAAACCAGATAAGCCACCTCACCTCTCTGAGGCTCAATTCTTCCATTTGCAAACAGGGGATAAAAATTTTCCTCTAAAAGATTGCTGTAGGCCGGGCGCGGTGGCTCAAGCCTGTAATCCCAGCACTTTGGGAGGCCGAGGCGGGTAGATCACGAGGTCAAGAGATCGAGACCATCCTGGTCAACATGGTGAAACCCCGTCTCTACTAAAAAAAAAAATACAAAAAATTAGCTGGGCATGGTGGCACGTGCCTGTAATCCCAGCTACTCAGGAGGCTGAGGCAGGAGAATTGCCTGAACCCAGGAGGCGGAGGCTGCGGTGAGCCGAGATCGCGCCATTGCACTCCAGCCTGGGTAACAAGAGCAAAACTCAGTCTCAAAAAAAAAAAAAAAAAGATTGCTGTGAGGATAAAATGAGGGAACATACATGAAAGAGCCTTGGGAAATGCCTGGCATACAGAAGGTACTCAATTAATGTTTGCTGAACCTAACTGTAACTTGACTATAGCAATGACTAATAGGCATGCACGTTTTAATGCGGCAAGAATAGAATCAGCCTCCTTTCCCCCCAAACTCCATTAACATCACTATGACCTTGGAGTCATCCTTTATTGCTTTCTTTACCTTAACCTTCATGTACAATATGTGAGGCACACAGAACCAAGTCCTATTGCCTCTATCTACAAAATATACTTTGAATTTATCCACACTCCTCTCCATATCTACAGCTAGCACCCTACTCATCTCTTAACTAAATATTGCAATAGCCTCCCACCGGCTCTTTCTGCTTCTACCTTGGCCCCTGTAGCACCCATTCTCTTTACTGGAAGCCTCATGGACCTTTTAAAATACAGGCTGGACCATGTCATACTCCTCCATTAAACCCTAGGATAGCTCTACTTTACACACAGAGTAAAATAAGCTCCTTACCTTAGCTTACAAAACACTAAGATGCCTTGACTCCTGCCTGGTTCCATCTTCATCTTGTACCATTCTTCCCCTTGCCCATGGTGGCCCAGCCACACTGGCCTTTTTGTTCCTTGAACACCAAGCTCTTTCCTACTTAACAGCCTTGGTACTAGCTGTCATTGCAGCCTAGATGCTCTTTCCCCCAGATATTTGAGACAGAGTCTCACTCTGTCACCCAGGCTGGAGTGCAGTGGTGCAATCTCAGCTCACTGCAACTTACACCTCCCAGATTCAAAGGATTCTCCTGCCTCCGCCTCCCAAATAGCTGGGATTACAGGTGTGCACCACCACACCTAGCTAATTTTGCCTCTAAATATACTAGCTGGCCCTACAGAAATCTGGACACAGGTAACAGAGATCAGAACCTAACAGTCATCAGCCATCAGAAGGCAGGTGGCTTCTGTTCTTACTGCCAGTGCAAGGATGAGACACCAACATGCCAAGAACACTTCATCCTTGGCTCTCCTGAACTATGTAACAGTATAATTTGGAGAAATTAGCCCTCCCCTACAACTTCCCCCACACCCCTGTAAAGGAGGGTTAAAACACTCCACTGAGAGAATCAAAGAATGGAATGTAAACACCCAATAGGAAATTACTGAGTGATTAAAAATACACAGAAGGATAATACAAACATCACCTGTATCTCCCTTAGGTGAATTGGGAGAGTGTTTTCGTGTGAAACCTACAATTTGGTGACTGATTATATCCTCTCTAGTGTTGCTCTCTGCTTATTTCACATGTGTTTATTCTCCTACCTGTCCCCTCCCTTCAAGTAAGATCCAAGGGCAGGGAGCAGTCATTCACTTACTCCTCATGTATCTCCTACAGCTAGTACAAAAAAACTAGAATATCCATGGAGTAGGCACTTGAACTCCTTTATTTCAAAACAGCCTGAGCACAGACATATCACCTTCAGGGAGAGGCTGTGCAGAACCCACGTCATTTTCTGATTTCAGCAGCACAGTGTACCACCGAGCCCTCAAAGAGATGGGGAGGCAGAAGGCCACAGGCCCTGAGGAAGACTCCACCAGCCCTGGGGAGCATGGAGCGGGGCAATGCTAGGCCTTCCCCACTCCCATACTGTCCATATCTAGCACACACTCCATACCAACGTGGGCAGCAACATGGAAATCCCATCCAACTCCAGACCCCCCACCTGAGGGGCAGTTAGTAACTGCTCGGTGTCCAAAGGTGCCAAAGGGAACAGAGCCTGGCACAGGCAGAGCTGGGGATGAGGGAGTCACAAAATTAACTGAGCAAACTTAAAACGCTCACAACTTCCAAAGAAGGAAGTCCGTCCTGTCCTTTCCAAGCTCTAGATTTTACAGACTTCTGCTATGATTTGCAAACCTCTACATTTCATTAGGTTCTTCTAAGTTCTCCAGAGTTCTGCAGATCCACTCAAAGGCCATTCTGCCAAGTACTCTTCTGACTGAGTCACCCACACACTGCAAGTCTGTCTGGCTCCCTGGCTACTTGGTGAATAGAAAGTTTTAATTTTGATTTTATAGGATCCCAGTAGCCACAAGACCACTAGCCAAGCTCCTGATAGAATGAGGAAATCAAACCCAGAGAGCCCTTCCCTAATTTTTTTTTTAAAGGAAGATGGCAGAGAAGCAATGTGATAGGAGCCAAGTACCAGCTTTGTCACTACCAGCCAGTTCCACAGTCCAAGCAACTACTCCACCTCCCTGGGCTACGGTTTCCTCATCTGTAAAATGGGGGGTGCAGGTAGACACTCCATCTTGAAAGGCCACACAAGGCCTGCATGAAAACCAGGCAGATCAGAGTCACACAAACCAATTCAAATCCCAGCTCTGCCACACACTGGTAGTGCATGACCTTGAGTGACTTAGTGGCTTTTCTGAGTTTATCTGTAAAGAAAAGATTAATTCCAACCCTACATTGTTATAAAAAATACTGATAACGTCCCAGCCCACAGTAGACACTCCAACCTTCAATTCCTGCTATATTTATCTTTTGCTCACTCTAAAACTGCATTCCAATAGAGTTGTTTTGCCTTTTTCCATGTTGCAGACTCCAGCATGTTTAGCCTGCTCTAGGACAGAGGCTCAAGAACACGCTTTCTTTTCTTCCCTTTGAGTTAAGGCACAGCACCCAGCCTTCTGTTTAAATTTCTATTTAAAGAACTCACCTGGCAGACAAAGTGGTTTAAGATCAAGAGGCGCCTTCCACCAGCCACACTTCCACCCCCGACGGGGTTCAGAAACTGCAGCCTGAGAAAAGTCGCATTCTATAGAAGTTTTCAAACACGTCCTGGAAACATTTCCAATCTCAGAGCACCCAGTTTTATGCTTCCATTTAGTACACTTAAATAAGTCAGGCTCCCCAGCTGTAAAATGAGAAGGCTGGAGCAGAAGATGTTTCAAGGATCTTCCTTCCAGTTGTAGCATTTTAAGATGCTGAGGTTCATCTCAAACTACTGCCATCCACAGAACTACAGACTGAAATGTAACAACACCACACACAACTGAAGACACAAAGAGACAGAGGCAGAACAGTTGTCCTCCCTGACCTCATTTGCCAACAAAATATTCTTTGTAATAACAACAGGGAGGTGTAGTTAATGATACTTATGTCTTGTTTATGCCCAATTACATAGGATGGTGGTTGTTTTTATTTAACTGTAGGTGCTCCCAACCATTGAAGAAAACTCCCTTTCTCTCAGGCATTACTTGAATTTCATGAATCAGAATATAATATCACAGCAAACTGAATCCCCGTGAAACCAGTACAGGACTAACCTGCTCTCTTGTTCTTTCTGGAAAAGGCAGCTGACACACTCACTCTCCCTTTGGGCTCCATGTTCAGATAGTGTCTTCCCCAGCTGTGGAGCCTTACAAAATCAGGTTCAGGTCAGACAGGGAGGGAGACTCCCAGCCTGCCTGCTCTCTTTCAATTTCAGTTCTTGAGCAGCTGTCTCCCAAGGCGCTGCAAATCCAGCAGCCACTTGCTCCTGCTCATTCATCCTCCTTCCTCTCCACCCCCCACCAAAATCTGGCAACCAGGCAGGAACATAGTTCCAGCTCTGAGTCACTGCCCCACTGTGGCCAAGGGGAGCAGTGGCTAAAGGTAAACAACCAGGCAAGCCCTTTACATCTCTAGAATCCAATTCTTCTGTTCTTTGAGACTGTGGCATTGGCTGCCCCTCTAGAGCCAAGACATAAAGAAACACCCCTACCTACAGCTCTGGAGTCAGAACAAATTGCTCATTCAGGTTTGCCTGCCATACCGAGCTGAAGTTAGCCCCAAAACAGAGCCTATCTTTGGTGAAGAAACAATGACTCCTTATCAATATTTCATACCAGTCAGGGCAGGGAAGGGTTTGAATGTTACAAGTCAGCAAACCCACTTTCCCTGGTAATAATGATTCTTTCATCACTGCTTGGGATGGCTAAGGTTCTTTCAGCACCAATTTAACCATGTGGCACTCACTCCCAGAACAGGCCTGAAAAGGGCAGAGGGATTAAAAAGAGAAACCAGGCACCAAAGTCACAGATCAACACTGTGGCTCTTTTCATTGCAACCTACGTAGGTCTACAAGTCACGATGCAGGTAACACTTGAATATGAGCTCCACAGGGCAGACTAGTGTTTTCACAGCTATGTTCCAGGGCTTAGCTAGCACATAGTAGGTACTCCATAAATATTTGTTGAATGAAAAAAATAAAGGGGATTTTGTCCTGAGTCTATGTAGGATGACTATATTACTAAAACTTGGATCCATCTTTTCTCTTTTAGAAACCTCCATATCCTTCATAACTTCTAATACTACCTGTAGTGAATGTTCTATAAATCTTTAAACGTGGAGATGATTTACTGTGAAACCATAAAGCTCAAGCTTTAGGGCTTCTCATTTTCACAAGCCCCCTCCAGGGCCCCAGGAAGAGCCCTACCAATGTGTTTACATGCTTTCTGCAATTTTATATATTTGTAAAGAAGGCTTCCCAAATTATCTTACTAAACATCAAACCCTACAAAATATTGATCTACCATAGCAGAATGAATAATGACTCATAAGCCATCCTGACAGAGGGCATTTGCTTGGACAGAACTGTTTTGGTCACAGAAGAGGTATACCCTAGTCTACAAACATAGCCTAATCAATCACATAATCACAAGTCAATCACTATAATATGATATAGCAGAATCAATATATAGTCAATTACTATAATATAATATAGCAGAACGAATGAATGAATAACTCACAAACCATCCTAACAAGGGCATCTGCTTGGACAGAACTGTTTTGGTCACAGAAGAGGTATTCCCGAGCCTACAGACAAAGCCTAATCAATCACATAATCACAAGTCAATCACTATAAAGACTTGATTAGGTTTAAGAGCACAAAGCCCACGCGTCCAACACTAAGTATGTATAAATATATATATATATATATATATATACACACACACACACACACACACACACACATATATACATACACATAGAGCTCAGAGTGGGTATTGTCATAGAAAAGCAAAGAAGACCTACTTGCTATGTATCAACCTAAAAGGCATAATACCCTTAACACCCTAGAAGGTAAATCATATTATCTTCATTTTGCAAGCGAGGAATTGAGGCCCAAAGGAGTCAAGGGACATTCTGAAATCATAGAATAAGCAAGTGGCAAGGTCAAAATTCAAATCCAGATCTGCCTAACTCCAAAGTGTGGGCTTGTTTCTAGTGGCTGCATGTCAGTCAATGGCTAGTTGCTCCATAGAGCCTCCAAAATGCCTTGGGAGAGATACTGGCTTTGGAAGTAGAGAAACCACATCGAGCACCAGCAGAGGTTGGCAAGCTTCCAAGACTCACACTCTGGAAAGTGGAAGAACAGGAAATGCCAGGAGTTTATTCATCAGTTATACAGGAATAATCCTTGTTCACCAGGAAACACCCTAGCAGGAATTAGTGACAACTATTTTGGGAGCCAGAAGGAACCACATGAGAGGCTGCCACCCTGTGGCTTTGTCTACAAATTCCCTCATCCTTGTTGCCAGTTTAAGCATGCTGGGGCACTGCTCTTGTCCCATTATCTCCTGCCTAAACACCCTCCATGGCTCCTCAGTGTTAAACTCTTTATCTCTCACTGCTTGCCAATACTCTTGGCTTCTGCCAAATTTAACTGCCCACCAGTCCCCAAGTCGCCTTCTCTTTTCTACCTCTGGGCTTTGGCTCCTGCTGTCCACTTCCCTAAGGATCTGTGCCCAATCTTCAAGGCTCCTTCTCTTCCAAGTAGCCCTTCCTGATCACTCCAGACCACTCTGATATCCTTCCTTCCTCAACATTCTTAGCACTGAAGGCTTATACACTTCACTATTCATATATAGCAAGACTCCTCAATTGCAATATATAGGAATTATACCTCCCAACAGCTCTTTTCATTTTACTTTTCAAAAATTATTTAAGTACTGCATGCTACAGAAGGGTATAAACTCAAAAGCAGTTCCTTTTCCTCCCTCCAATTCAGTATCAATCCCAGGGGCAACTACCTTTACCAGTTTCTTGTATATCCTTTTTGAGTTCTTCATTTATGAAATTTTTATATACTCAAAATTTTATATACACATCTTTTTAGAAAAAAACTAACATAAACAGAATAAAATTGTACATATCATTCTATAACTTGCTTTTTACTTTACACATATATCTTGGGCTACTCCATATCCATATGCAAGGATAAACATAAACAGTCCCCTCCACACACAGTTTTCCCTAGGATTCCCACACCACACCAGCCCTCTGGGAGATGCTTCGCAGGCCCATCCATATGCCAACTTGTCCCAATATGTATTAGAGACTTCAAATTCATGACCTGAAAACTAGTTTGTCCCCCAAATTAGTTTTATTTGAGCTACTCAGATTGTAAAAATTCAGCCAAAGCTTTAAAATAGAAAAATTTCATACAGAAATTCAGCTTAGGCTGGGCACAGTGGCTCATGTCTATAATCCCAGCAGTTTGGGAGGCCAAGGCAGGAAGATCACCTGAGTTCAGGAGCTCAAGACCAGCCTGGCTACCATGGTGAAACTCTGTCTCTACTAAAAATACAAAAAAAATTTAGCCAGATGTGGTAGTGGGCACCTGTAATTCCAGCAACTTAGGAGGCTGGGGCAGGAGAATCCTTTGAATCTGGGAGGTGGCGGTTGCAGTGCTCCAGCCTGGACAAAAGAGTGAGACTATGTCTATTAAAAAAAAAAAAAAAAAGCCAGGCACAGTGGCTCACGCCTATAATCCAAGCACTTTGGGAGGCTGAGATGTGTAGATCACCTGAGGTCAGGAGTTCGAGACCAGCCTAACCAACATGGAGAAACCCTGTATCTGCTAAAAATACAAAATTAGCTGGGCATAGTGGCACATGCCTGTAGTACCAGCTACTCAGGAGCCTGAGGCAGGAGAATTGCTTGAACCTGGGAGACAGAGGTTTCAGTGAGCCGAGATCACACCACTGCACTCCAGCCTGGGCAACAAGAGCAAAACTCTGTCTCAAAAAAAACAACCCAAAGAAATTGAATTTATCTTGGAAAACAAAAACTGTGGCAACATAGGGCCCCAATGAGAAGTAGACTGATCTTTATTTCCCTGCAGTCCTCCCCACTCTCTGTTGCTTCCCAGTGTTGAGAGTGAACACCCAGTGTTATCTGTCATCGCATCTAACATTTATAATTTTCTTACAGTAAGAAATCTCTATAAATATAGACAGATTATTATGAGTACTTCAAAAACAAATTCAAGAGCATAAATACAGGCTGCCTTTTTGTTATCTGCTAACCCTCTGTAAACATCTGAGTTTGTAACTCCTACCTTGTATCAGCAAGACCGATTCTAGAGAATACCTTCCTTTCATGAAGAAGATCTGTTTTAAAAAAACAAAGATTTCTTGCTGGGCATGGTGGCTCATGCCTGTAATCCCAGCACTTTGGGAGGCCATGGCAGGCGGATCACTTGAAGTCAGGAGTTCGAGACCAGCCTGGCCAACATTGTGAAACCCTGAATACAAAAATCTGGTTGTGGTGGCACATGCCTGTAATCCCAGCTACGCAGGAGGCTGAGGAAGGAGAGTCATTTGAACCCAGGTGGCAGGGGTTGTATTGAGCCAAGATTGCACCACTCTACTCCAGCCTGGGTGACAGTGCGAGACTCCATCTCAAAAAAAAAAAAAAGAGATTTTTACATGTAAAGGTAAGAACTAAAGGAAGATGCTAGCTGCAGTGGCTCATGCCTGTAATCCCAGCACTTTGGGAGGTGGAGGCAGGCAGATCACTTGAGGTCAGGAGTTTGAGACCAGCCTGGCCAAAACATTGAAACCTTGTCTCTACTAAAAATAAGAAATAATTAGCTGGGAGTGGTGGCAGGCACCTGTAATCCCAGCTACTTGGGAGGCTGAGGCAGGAAGAAAAAAAAAGGAACTAAACAAAGATGACGAAAATTGGTCCAGAATTTTCCCTGTCACAAAAATCTTTAAAAAAGATTTTTTTTTTCCATAACAGTGAATGGACTCACTCTTACCCTTCTCTAACTGAGCTTTTGAAAAGGTTAACCCCAAACCAGCCAACAGATCGTTTCTTCCACATAGTGAAAAATCCAGAAAGACACGACCAACAATTCTATCCCTAAAGAATCCAAAGGAAAAGTGATACCAGTGGATGCAGCCCTGATGGCCACGCAGAGAGGCCACTAACAGTAGGCAGGGGCTCCTAGAAAAACATCTAACCAGGTGCCACCTGGGACAAACATCAAAGACCTCTCCCAACTTGAAAAATGCATAGTCTACTGTGGTGTTTATAGCACAGGCCCTGGAGTCCAGCCCTCCAAAGCTGTCCATGTCACAGATAAGGAAACTGTTCCAGAAAGCAACTGCAAAAAGTTGCCACCATTTAAAAAATAATAATTGTTTCAGTTAGGTACTCAAAAGAAATCTTAAAATGCTCACAAATACTACATGGTCAGACCTGAAAGATAATTGCTTTACTTGCCCCTTATAATAACATGTGACAACAGTATATTTCTTCATTCATTTAACAAATATTTGAGAGCCAAATAGATGCCAATCCCCTAGTGTCTTATGCATAAAAGGCAAGTAATCAAGAAGAGGGATCACAGGCTGTAAAGTGTGTGTAACAGCTTAGTTTCTGTACATCCAAAAGATGAACAAAAGGACAGTTTTTGTGATTCAGATTAGCAAAAGATAACCTGTCTTAGGGGCTATAAATTCTGTTTATTACACCAAGTTGAGAAAGCTGAAAAACAACACAAATCAGAAAAACAATTCAGCATATGAAAGATGAGAGGCATTATTTTTAAAAATCAGAAATTCTGGATATGAAAATTTCATTGAAGGACTCACAAAATACAGTCAAAGAGCTTCAACATAGGCTAGGACAAGCAGAAGAAAGAATTTTAGGTTGCTTAAGCCCAGGAGTTCAAGACTAGCCTGGGCAATATGGCAAAACCCCATCTCTACTAAAAATACAAACTATTAGCTGGGAATGGTGGCACACACCTGTAGTCCCAGCTTCTTGGGAGGCTGAGGTGGAAGGATCACCTGAGCTTGCGAAGTTGAGGCTGCAGTGAGCTGTGATCATCTCACTGCACCCCAGCCTGGGTGACAGGAGTCAACCACATCCCCTCCCAAAAAATGAAATGAACAAAGTCTCTTAGAAATATGGGATTATGTAAAATGTCTAAACCTACAAGTTATAGGTTGATTCAGAGAGAGAAGAAGAAAATATATGGAAAACCTATATGAAAGAGTAATTCAAGAAAACTTCCCTGGTCTTGTTAAAGGTCTAGACACCCAGTACAAGAAGCTCAGAGAACTTCTGGAAGATGCGTTACAAGAAGACTCTCACCAAGACATACAGTCATCAGACTATCCAAAGTCAACGTGAAGGAAATAATTCTAAAAGCTTCAAGAGAGAAGTGTCTAATCCCCTAAAAAGGAATTCCCATCAGACTAAGAATGAGTTTTCAGCAGAAACCTTACAAACCAGAAAAGATTGGAGTTCTATTTTCGGTCTTCTTAAAAAAAAAAAAAAAAAATGCCAGCCAAGAATTTTGTATCCTGCTAAACTAAGTTTCTTAAATGAAGGAGACAGAAAATGTTTCTTAGACAAGCAACCACTAAGGGAACTTTTCACCACTAGACTGGCCCTACAAGAAATGCTCAAAGGAATTCTAAACATGGAAACAAAAGGGCAATATTCATCATCATAAAAACACAAGAAAGTATAAAACTCACAGGTCTTATAAAGTAATTACACAATAAAGACTGCAAAGCAATGAGGTAACAACATTATAACAAGAACAAACCTCACATATCAATACTAACTTTAAACATATAAGGACTAAATACTCCTCTTAAAAGATATAGGGTGGTGGAATGGATTTAAAAACAAGATCCAACCAAATGCTGTATACAAAAAAACCCACCTCACCGATAAAGACATTTACAAAGTAAAAGACTGCAAAAAAAACTTCCATGTAAACAGGAACCAAAAGCAAGTGAGAGAAGCTAAACTTATATAAGATAAAACAGACTTTAAATCAACAACAGTAAATAAAGCAGACAAACTGAGACCCGTTTCGTCACAGAGGGTAACTCTTACTTTCCAGAAATAACAGGATTAAGAGTTGCAGGGCTGAAAATGACTCAGAGCTCACCTCATCCAAGCTGTTTGTTGCATAGATGAGGAAACCAAGGCCTGGGAAGGTTAAGACACTGCTTGAGCTAACAGCTATTACTGAACCATAATTAACACTAGGTTCCTGAAAACAAGGATTAAGAAAAAAAATCATACACTGCTTTAAAATTAATGTCCTGCCTTAAAATCCATCTCCTAGTGGCTAATTTCCACTAGCAAACATTATATATACATAATTTAAAGTATGTAAAAAATATAATTATTTATTTGTGAGATAGAGTCTCACTCTGTCACCCAGGCTGGAGTGCAGTGGCACATGATCTTGGCTCACTGCAACCTCTGCTCCCCAGGGTTCAAGCAATTCTCCTGCCTCAGCCTCCTGAGTAGCTGGGATTACAAGTGCCTGCCACCATGCCAGGCTAAGTTTTGTATTTTTAGTAGAGATGGAGTTTCACCATCTTGGCCAGGCTAATCTTAAACTCCTGACCTTGTGATCCCACTGCCTCAGCCTCCCAAAGTGCTGGGATTACAGGCTTTTCTTTAAATTTTTTTAGAGTCAGGGTCTTACTCTGTCACCCAGGCTGGAGTGGGTGGCATGATGATAGCTTACTGCAGTCTCAAACTTCTGAGCTCAAGTGATCTTCCTGCCTCAGCCTCCTGAGTAGCTAGGACTATATAGGTGCAGTGCTACCATGCCTGACTTTTTATTTTACTGTATTTTATTTTTAGAAATGGAGTCTTGCTATGTTTCCCAGGCTGGTCTCAATCTCCCGAACTCAGGCAATCCACCTGCCTTGGCCTCACAAAGCACTGGAATTACAGGCATGAGCCATGACAACCAGCCTCAAAAAATATATTTTAGAGCTGGGAATCTCTGTGTGCAGTCAAGAGACCTCATATGGAAATCCAGTATCAGTTGTCCAGATTTGAGTGGCATATAAAATATATGAAGGGGAGATAGCCATACGAAGATAGAAGCAGAGATTGGGGTGATGCCTCTATAGTCCAGGAATGCCAAGAACTGCTGGCAGCCATCAGAAGCAAAGAGAGACGCATGGAATGGAAGCAACTCTGTAAACACTTTGATTTTGGACTTCTTGTCTCCGGAACTGTAAGAGAATACATTTCTGTTGTTTTATACTACTGTTGTGGTTGCTGGAAATGAATACAGAATCTTTATTCGTTTTGTGGCTTTGACTTACTACAAATCCAATCAGTCAACAGTATGGAAAAGCTATCATAAGGGCCACTAGGACCTTGGGACTCACTTAGTAGTAGTATAGAGTTTAAAACAAGGGAGTAAAATGT